GAGAGAGAGAGACAGAGAGAGAGAGAGATCCTTGTGCAGCACGCATGTGTGTGTGTGTGTGTGTGTGTGTGTGTGAGAGAGAGAGAGAGAGAGAGAGAGAGAGAGAGAGAGAGAGAGAGATCCTTGTGCAGCAGGGGAGGAGAAGGGCCATGTACTGTCTGACACTGGTCAGTTCTTTTCATGGGCATGTCATGGCAGGAAGTATTAAGAAGACATGCCATGCAGGGAAGCATTAGGGTAGTCATAGAGGTAGTCTCCTGAAAAGCCAGGAATATTTAACATATGTTGTTGCGTTAACAGCACGGGCAGGGTCAGGATTACTTATAGGGGTAAATTTGCAATAAGGCACAGGTATGGAGGTTCGATGGTAAGTTTTGGATGCATAAGGCTGATGCTGAATTTAGCAGTGTAGCTGTGGTCCTGCTGTGCCTACATGATAGGCTATGGAATAGCTGAACCTGAGACCAGCTCCTGTACCTATCTATTCCAATGGACTGGTAGTTAGGTCCAGTTCACCATCACAGAAAGGTGTGGCCCATTTCCTATTTCCATGAGCTATTCACCTTCCCAGTCCCATGCAAGCTTCTATTTGACTATTTTATACTAGTCATCGTCACCCGAATAGAATGCCTGCCATTGCCTGGTCATTATAGCTGTATCTGGGGCAATTATCAGTCCAGATTCAGCGATAATGACCGGGTGTTTTACTCGGGTGAAAACGCCTATACTCTGCTGGAAAGATAGCCAGTAGAGTTTTCTACCCCCTAGTTACCATGGAAAGGGCGTACATCTGTGCAGCCAACCGTTCAACAGATGATGTGAAAATACTTTCACATCTTCTGAACGTTGCAGTCCCACTCCGTCAGCTTCAGTGAGGCCGCATGCTGTTTGGATGATTCTTCTCATGCTTCTTTTTTTTGTTGTTGCTTTCGCTTTTAAGTAGGGAGTTGTCTCTAATCTTATTGCACCTCTTGTATGTTTTGCTGGGTTTGAACTCAAGGTCTGTTTACCAACAGCTACTACCAGTAGCGTGTATTATACAGACACATTGTTTTGTTGGGTGCTGCAAAACCTAGTTTGGCACTGCAGTATCGCCTTCTGCCAAACACAACGGACCCTGAATATACCCAGGCCATCTTTCCAGTCCGATGCATTCATTACTAGGGTGTGTTGTGTTCGGGAGCTGGTTCTTATGCAGGCTATGCTGGGTGTCTCTGTAACTTGCCGTCCATTACCTGCCACGGATGGCTTATGGGGGCAGCCTGGATGGAACGAGGAGTAGGGAAAGAGGTAGACACGATCTGAGGAAGATCAATTGATGGGTGTCTCTGTCACTTGCCGTCCATTACCTGCCACAGATGGCTTCTGGGGGAAGCCTGGATGCAGCGAGGAGTAGGGCAAGAGTTAGACCCGATCTGAGGAGGACCAATTGCTAATGCTATAGCAAAGGCTAAAGAGAGGAGCAGCTATTGGCTCAGAAGAAAGGGTGCACTGAGCAATCTGTGGCAGGTAATGGACAGTTGCAAGGTGTGGACATTGTGAGGGACCAGAGCAAGGCGAAAGAGAGGAACAGCTGTGGGTTCTATCGGAGGAGGTGGTCCTGGGCTGTGGTGGTTAAGATATACTTGGCTCTCGAGGCCGTGGTCGCCGGTTCGAATCCGTGCTTGCATGGAGGAGGGACTTAGGCTGGCTCAGATGTGCGGATCCATTTGCTGCTGGGCAAGTTTCTTCCATCGAAGGGACAGTTGCATGTTGTGGACACTGTGAGAGACCACAGCTTGGGAGTGAACACGGTCTTGGAGAGTTGCGTCTGAAATGAACAATCACAACCGCCAGTACATCACCCATGCAAACTTGAGAATCGAAATCGAGCCAATCCGAAAAATTCGCAAGCTCAGGGCTACCAGACGAAAATGGCTGGCGGTGCCAGCCAAAGGGGAAAAGAAAATACGCCGCAAAGGGAATCGGTCTCGGCAAAAAGAGGCATGGGTGCACTGGTGGTTTGGGGACAGGCATACTGTAGGGGAACTGTGAAAAGACAGAGCACCAGGGGAGGGTACACCGATGACTAAGTTATGGGTTTTGCACTTTGTGGGGAAGTTGGAACCCCGGTCACGTGCGGGACGAGTGAACATCAAATCTAGGTCTGTATGATCATAACAAG